CCCAAAGCTTCAGAGAAGCTCCCTGAGCACTGAAGCCAGTACCAGGTGAGCAGACCCCACCATAAGGGAGGTCACCTACATCACAGCAGTGTCAGTGTTAGCCTTTTGGTACTGAGGCAGGGAGCAGTCACTGTCTGAGGTGGTACCAGTAGGAGCCTCACTCCAGCACTGGCTGCCTTATTACCTCCAACTCCAGTGCCCGAACAGCCTCTGTAGCATCACCTGGTATGCGCTCCACCTCTTTGGATTATAGTACTGGCACTCTTTCGGCTGTTAGACCTTGGTCACTCTGGGGCTTCCTGCGCTCTGGTCAAGCCCTCTGTACGCTTACAGGGTGAGAACCACCCCTATCAGAAAACTCTGCCTTCTCATCATCAGTTTTCTAAGACAGTAGTCAGTCTTCCCCAGGCGGGTCCCAGGACTCTGCATTCTCAGGGTCTCCAAAGGGGACTTGGAGTACCTACCCATGACCGAGGATGCAGGATGGCACAGGTTTGACCCAGTACTGATACCGAGGATTCCCATTGCTGTGGACCTCTGCACCCTGTGATTATGGCATGTGGAGCATGTGGCCTCTATGGGGGCTGCGGTTTTATCCTGGCCCATCCCACAAGGCGCAGAATGAAATATGCCAGGAAGGTGATATACACCTCTACTCGATATAACGCTGTCCTTGGGAGCCAAAAAATCTTACCGCGTTATAGGTGAAACCGCGTTATATTGAACTTGCTTTGATCCACCGGAGTGCGCAGCCCTGCCCCCCCGGAGCGCTGCTTTACCGCGTAATATCCGAATTCGTGTTGTATCGGGTCGCGTTATATCAAGGTAGAGGTGTAGTTAGTTTCTGAGTAAAGAAGAAATCTGCCACATCCTATTTGCATAATCAGATTGCCTCAAGGGGAAAGGAAGAGTGGGATAAATAGCTGGTGAATAAGATCAGGTGAATAAAATAAGTCTAGGAAAGAGGAATAAAATAATAAATTAGCCATTTGATAACATACTGGGCTTCAGTGTCGGTGGCAACAACATCGAAATGAGCAGATAGGAGGGACCAGATCCCGGTCATTGGATCTGAACTGTTCTATTCCTACCCAGCACTGGGGTCCCTGGTGGTGGTGGCGGCTAACGAGAGAACTCGCCAGGGCCACCAGAAGTTGACCTCAAAGGGCAAGGAGATTAAATGCCTTGTCTTGCTCAGCCAAAAGGCATATCTACGGTAAGCCTTCAGATGAGGTTCTCCAGTTATCAGGCAGGCCTAGTAAACTATGACCACATCAACTGGAGTGTGTTGTAATAATTTATTGACAAGATACCACAGGACTGCAGGGACAAGTTCCAGTTCCAGACCATCCTTGTGGAGGGGCATGTGGTAGCTAGAACTGTGCTACCAGCAGCGCTGGATGCCATGGATATGGCTTCTGGGGCAATGGCAACAGCAATCACCAAGCAGTGCTCCTCCTGGCTGGTCTCAGCAGCCATCAGAGAACTGCAGGCAACAATTGAAGACTTATCCTTTGAAGGCTGCTCACTCTTTCACGAGAGGAGACATGAGGCAATGAAGTCCCTGCAAGACTCTACATCCACCCTCAGATCATTGGGGATGTATGCCACAGCCTCCCAAAGGAGGCACTTCAGGTTCCACCCTTATCAGCGGCACCAACAGCCGTTCTCACATTTCACACAGCCCGAGCCACCCAGCTGCAGGCAGAGATCCTCAGGGAGGAATCCTGCTACAGGATCTACTTCCCAGTCTCACCACTCTGCATTGGTGCTGACCGGGCAGCAGGTTGGACATCGTGTCTGTGGACAGCACACCACTCTGCCTGTGATTCAAGACCTCCCCTCTATTTAGCAACCATCTGGCGCCTTCCAACAGGCCTGGTCTAGTATCACCTCAGACCACTGGGCCCTGGAGGTGGTCCAGAGAGTTTAGACCATTGTGTTTCTCTTCCTTCCCGCTAACCATCCCTCCTCCACATCCCCATTCAGGGACTCTTCCCAAGAATTTGCTTTTACTGGAGATGCAGACCATCCTCCCTTTCAGTGCTATAGAGAACATTCCCTCTCAGTAGAGGGTTCTATTCACCTTACTTTCTTAGCCTTAAGTAAACTGGCTTGAGGGTGGGGGATGGGGCTTTGAACAATACTGGACCCCTATGAGGACTGAACATCTGTCAAGAAGCTCAGGTTCAAGTCGGTTTCCCTTGCATCCATCATTTCTCTCCTTGGATCAGAAAACCTGGTATGCTGCTCTTGACCTCAAGGATATGTACTTCCACACTGCGATTCACCAAGCGCACAGGCACTTTCGGAGGATTGTGTTAGACCACAGCCACTACTGATGCCAGGTGTTGCCCTTCAGGCCGCTCTCGAACACTCAGCGTATCATGGCAGCGTTTACTTCTGTTACCCTGCACGAAAGGCCCTGCTTCTGTCAGTTCCACCCACCATCCCTGCTACTTCGGAGTCTGGATGTCACGGGTGGTAGTGAAGGATCTAGGTGCGGCAGGGTGGTTCCATGGTTAGGCGAGGGAGGCAGAGACAAATGGGCCACCCTGAGGAATACAGCTGACTAGAAAATTCTCTGTTGCATGTGCACTGGAAGTGCATTTACTAACTGTGGAATATGTATAGCGAGTACACATCTCAAAGAACATCAGTTACTGTACAGGTAAGTAACCTCCTTTTTCCAGATATCGAAGTAGGCTGACTGGTCTGTAATTCCCCAGGACCTCTTTGTTCCCGTTTTTGCCCTCCTCCAGTTCTCTGGGACCTCACCCATCCTCCATGAATCCTCAAAGATAATGGCTGTTAAAGGTTCGTGAAGTCCAAAGCAGACTTTGAAGAGCTACAATGGGATCTCTCAAGCTAGGTGACTGGGTAACCAAATGGCAGATCAAATTCAATGTTGATAAATGCAAAGTAATGCACATTGGAAAACATAATCCCAACTATACATATAAAATGATGGGGTCTTTACCACTCAACAGAGAGAGAACTTGGAGTCATTGTGGATAGTTCTTTGAAAACATCCACTCAGTGTGCAGCGGCAATCCAAAAAAACCCAAACAGAATGTTGGGAATCATTAAGAAAGGGATAGATAATAAGACAGAAAATACCATATTGCCTCTATATAAATCCATGGTGCGTTCACATCTTGACTATTACGTGCAGATGTGGTCGCCCCATCTCAAAAAAACTATATTGGAATTGGAAAAGGTTCAGTAAAGGGCAACAAAAATGATTAGGGGTATGGAACAGCTTCTATATGAGGAGAGATTAATAAGACTGGGACTTTTCAGCTTGGAAGAGAGACGACCCAGGGGGGATATGATTGAGGTCTATAAAATCATGACTGGTGTGGAGAAAGTAAATAAGGAAGTGTTATTTACTCCTTCTCATAACACAAGAACTAGAGGTTACCAAATGAAATTAATAGGCAGCAGGTTTAAAACAAAAAAAAAGGAAGTATTTCTTCACACAACGCAGTCAACTTGTGGAACTCTTTGCCAGAGGATGTTGTGAAGGCCGAGACTCTAACAGTGTTAAAAAAAGAACTAGATAAGTCCATGGAGGATATGTCCATCAATGGCTATTAGCCAGGATGGGCAGGGATGGTGTCCCTAGCCTCTGTTTGCCAGAAGCTGGGAATGGGCGACAGGGGATGGATCACTTGATGATTCCCTGTTCTGTTCATTCCCTCTGGGGCACCTGGCAGTGGCCACTGTCGGAAGACAGGATACTGGGCTAGAAGGACCTTTGGTCTGACCCAGTCTGGCCGTTCTTATGTAATGGTTCCGAGATTGCTTCAGCTCTTTTCTTAAGTATCCTGTGGTAAATTTAATCAGACCCTGCTGACCTGTATGCAGCTAATTTACTTAAATATTCTTTAACCTGCTCTTTGCCTATTTTGGCTGATGTTTCCTCCCCCTTATTGTTAATATTGTGTCAAGTATCTGGTCACAATTTACTTTTTTAATGAAGACGGAAGTAAAATAGGTGTTAAACAACTTAGCCTTCAGGTTCATCCGTTATTAGTTCTCCTTCCCCACTAAGTAAAAGACCAACCTACATTTTCCTTTGTCTTTCTCTTTTTCCTAATCTGTTTATAAAACCTCTTCTCATTGCCTTTTACGTTCCCATCTAGGTGTAACTGATTTTGTAGCTTAGCCTTTCTGATTTTGTTCCTATATGCTTGTAATATTCTTTTGCACTCCTTAGTAATTTCTCTGTGTTTCCACTTTTTTTTTTAGGATTCCTTTTTGATTTTTCAGGTTATTAAGGAGCTGCCGGTGAATCCATATTGGCCTCTTACTATCTGTCCTTCCCATCGGGATAGTTTGCTGTTGTGCCTTTAATATTGTCTCTCTGAGAATCTGACAGCTCTCTTGAACTTCTACCTTACCTACCAGTTCTCAGAGTTTGTTAAAGTCAGTTTTTTTGAAGTCCTTTGTTCTTATTCTGCTGCTCTCCTTTCTTTCCTTAATTCATGAAATTTATTGTTTTATGGTCTCTTTCACCCAAATTGCCGTCAATCTTCAGATTGGTAACCAATCCTTCCTTGTTAGTCAGAATCAAGTCTAAAATGTCTGTGCCCCTGGTTACGTCCTCCACCTTCTGAAACAAAAAGTAATACAACTCTATGGATTAATTGTGTAACATGACTGGTTTGTACAACTTGGTTTAAATGTGAAACTCATAAACATTATTAACTGGATTGTGCCAACTAGTCTCATTTAGCAATGTCTACATAATGCCATGTTCCTAGTGCTGTGATGTTCAGTTCATTTTCATTTCTCCCCGTTTTCTTAGTCTGGGCCGTTTATAATAGGCCAAAGTTTTGCTTCAAACCAGGGTATGATATGGGACTTGATTTCAATTCAAAGGAATCAATTTAAAGTTTCATCTATTTATTAAACTCTAAATGCTGCCTTCCCCGGGCACTGAGCTGATCCACAAACTAAATTTTTGGCATTTTTTTGTATTTATTTTCTTTAAGCTGCAACAAATAGTTCAGTCCCAGATATCTGTGCCACTTGCCATGCTAACGCCATGTGTCAGCAAAAAGAAGGCAAAAACGTCTGCATCTGTAACTATGGATTTGTGGGTAATGGGAGGACTCATTGTCAAGGTAGGCTATGATTTATGAATGTGTGCAATTGCTAACAATCCACGGTCTGTTACTGCGCAGCAAGCCAGGGTATAAATCTACAATACTCTAGCCTGCCCCACACTAAGGCCTGGTCTACATTGGAGGGAGGATTGATCTAAGTTACGCAACTTCAGCTACGTGAATAACGGAGCTGAAGTCGACGTACTTATATCTACTTACTGTGGTGTCTTCAATGTGGTAAGTTGACAGCTGACGCTCTCCCATCGATTCCGCCTGCTCCTCTCGGTCTGTTGGAGTACCAGCGTCGACAGGAGAGCACTCGGTGGTTGATTTATTGTGTCTAGACTAGCCACGATAAATTAACCCCCGTTGGATCGATCGCTGCTCGTTGATCCAACGGGTAATGTAGACATGCCCTAAGTGGCCGGGTGGACTCTGCTACAAGGCACTAAATGTTCTGCAGTGTACTTTGGCATACTGCTGTGCAGTCAAAGTGCACTGGGAAACTTTCTGTGTGTGGCAGCATGGGCTACAAGGCCAGTTAATGTGCAGCAGGCTAAAGAGCTATAGGTTTAAACTCTGGGTTGCCAAACATGAACAAACAATGTAGACAAGTCCTTACCAAAATATCTGGTCCTGGATGATGACACCAAGTTCTTAGAATAAGACCTATGTTCATACCTGACAGTCGCTCCAAAACCAAGAATGCCGACAGATTCTTTTTTCAAATCTGTTAACAATGGCAGGGGTGGGGAATGTTGGGTTGGATTTCATCAATTGCATTTAAAAGAAGTGAAGATTTGTAGCCAGTAAACTATCGAAACAAATACTGGTGAGAGTGTGTTTACCTTGTTTTTTAAATTCTAAGATGTTTGACTTAGAGACTGTCAACTTAAACTTGATCCAAAATCTGTTTTGAAAAAAAAAAAATTTTTTTTTCACAGAACCTAAAGACATTATAAATGTTTACATGATTGTTTTAAAAAAATATAATTTCAGTGGAAATTTAAAAACAAATATTCCCGTTCATCATTAGCATCCCAATCATTACTTCACTGAGAACCAGAAAATGAAACTGACTATAAACAAAATTGAGATGGATTTTACAGATTTTTCCAGTTCTAATATTCATAGGTAGTGTTAATAACATATGTTATTTGTTTCCAATATATAATTATTAAGTTGGCATTGTTTCTTTAATATTTGCAGTGTTGTTGTAGCTGCGTTGGTCCCAGGATGTTAGAGAGACAAGGTAGGTAGGATAATATCTTTTATTGGACCAACTTCTGCTGGTGAAGGAGACAAGCTTTTGAGCTGTACAGACCTGAAGAAGAGCTCTGTGCAGCTCGAAAGCTTGTCTTTTTCCACAACAGAAGTTGAGCCAATAAAAGATATTACCTTGCCCACCTTTGCTCCCTTTTAATATTGTGTATCACACGTGGATGGAGCAGTAAGTGAACTGGTGACGTCCAGTGACAATGACGATAGCCTGTATTAGAACAACAGTTGCAAAGTACTGTAGCTGACAGGTGATTATTTACAGAGTTAACAAATTAGAAAAAAACATGGTCAGGAAAAGTCTGACTGCTTAACAATGACAGATTTGATTTGATTTTTAATCTCTGACGTGTTTTGAATATACCAACAGATAAAGATGAATGCCAGATTGGAGCGAGTAAGATCTGCGGCGAGCATACATCATGTCACAATACACATGGAAGTTTTTACTGCATTTGTCTTGAAGGATACCATCCCTCTAACAACAACAAGACATTTATCCCCAATGATGGCACGTATTGTACAGGTACATACAACATCTAGGCTCACATGCTAGGGATCTGGGACTTCATAATCTATTTTCTGTGACAAACATGGCTGTTCCTTTGCAATCACATTAAGATTTTATTTTCGAAAGTACATAAAAGCAATTATTGGACACCTGCACCTAAGGTACATCCCAAACTTGCAAACACTTGCTACCGTATCTAGCTCTCATTACTGCGAGTTAGTCCCATTATGTTTTCTGCTGTCTTCTGCTCATTCTTGTTCTGTTAATATGAATTATTGGTATAAAGCTCAGTTTGTACAAAAGCCTTGCTGGCAAAATGACACCAGAAATTAAGACAATAGGATGATATTCCTTCTTTCCACTTCCCTATTTTTCCTTGCATGTCAGTTTATTAATTTTTTGTTTACTGTGGAATATTCTCCTTCAGCTGACAGGTGTTCTTCCATGGCACAATGACTGTTCAGGTTTAATTGATCAAAAATACAGATACTACTGGGTATTTCCTGGTCAGTAGCATGAAGTAGATTGGAGACGATAATGTCTGTTTGCCATGTATTAACTAAAAACTGATAGTAAAGTTATAGATTTTTGTGTGTAAGAGCCCAATCTTCTATGGTGCTGAGGACCTCCTGGAAGTTGATAAGCCCCTGCATCTCCCAGTGAGGCTAGCGGGAGTTGAGGGTGCTTTACACCTTCTAGGATACGCTTGGTACATTGCAGGATTGGGCCCTACAAATAAAACCACTTTAAAAGATTGTAACGTTTGATCTGGGTTTCTAGATATAGATGAGTGCCAGCTGTCAGGTCTGTGTGGTGTCGGGGGACAATGTGTGAACACTGTTGGAAGCTACCACTGCTACTGTATGGAAGGATATAGACCAGAAAATGGAACAGAATTTTTTCATCCATCTGGAAATACTGTTTCATGCAAAGGTGAGAGCCTATGGATGTTGTTCATGCTAACAGATACAATCAGATCCGTCACAATATCACGGTTCCTGCACTGACCTACAGTTCTGAGTTTCCCGGGTTGTAGCCCTCTATGTGTTACCTTTTAGTTTTTGCAAATTCAACATGTCTCATTGATGCTTGGATGATAAGGTTGACAATGGCTATAGAGCACTATAGGCTCTCACCAGTGGTTTGAGTGTGCAAGGTCGGTGAAGTGAAATATGCCAGGAAGGTGATATACACCTCTACCTTGATATAACGCTGTCCTCGGGAGCCAAAAAATCTTACCGTGTTATAGGTGAAACCGCGTTATATTGAACTTGCTTTGATCCACTGGAGTGCGCAGCCCTGCCTCCCTGGAGCACTGCTTTACCGCATTATATCTGAATTCGTGTTGTATCGGGTCGTGTTATATCGAGGTAGAGGTGTAGTTAGTTTCTGAGTAAAGAAGAAATCTGCCACATCCTATTTGCATAATCAGATTGCCTCAAGGGGAAAGGAAGAGCGGGATAAATAACTGGTGAATAAGATCAGGTGAATAAAATAAGTCTAGGAAAGAGGAATAAAATAATAAATTAGCCATTTGATAACTTACTGTGCTGTATGCAAGAATAAACGACTCTGGGTTTATTTGGTTTCTTTTGGCCATAAAAAGAAATTAATCTGAACTTGAAATAAATACTTCGTCTTCCCTCTTCTTCTTTTCTCCAGTATCAATTAAAATTGCAGCTCCATATCTGAGACACACAACACTAGAAATCCTCAATATAGCTGTCATGCACACATGTATCCAAGGTGAAGTGAACAGCTAGTGATTATGGAACTAACTTGCCACTACCTAGTTCTCCCATTTACATAGTATTGCAACAATTTGGTAGCTAAGGATACATTTGTAGTATATTGAGTTAGGCTGAAATTTCCTACTTGAGAGTTTCAAGTTAGGCACTTCAATAAGTTGCCTAATTTTCAGAGGTGCTGATCACCTGCATATCTCATTGACATCTGAATAACTTAAATAAATTAATTGACTATATAACTTTTTTTTTTTAAAGCAGTATATATATTCCTCATATTCTAATAGTAGACTCTCTCACAGGAAAGCAGGGTCACTCAGAAGACTGTAACAAAGAAATATAACCATTACAGGCAAGTTGGGCCAATGAGCTTTCATTGAAGGGCATGTCATTTAATTTCAGCCTTTCTACAATAAAGTTTCCACCCTTAACAAATGCTGCTTCCTCTGTCACATGCCTGGGAAACCACAGCCGCTCAGTACTTCTATTTTTGTGGTCGTTTATTCCTTGGTGGAGGTTTAATACTTGCTGTGGCAAAATTAAAAACATAAATCAACCAGGTATATTGTGGACCTGAAATTTCTACCCCCACCCCCCAAGGATAGTTCTGTTATCTCTACAACAAAACCAACCTCCAGACAAGGTCCAATGATTGGAAGTTGCAGCTGGGCAAATTCAGACTAGAAACAAGGTGCAATTTTTAACAGTGAGGGTAGCTAACTATTGAAACAATTTACCAAGGGTTATGGTGGATTCTCCGTTGCTGGAAATTTATAAATTGGGGTTGGATGTTTTATCTAAAAGCTATGCTGTAGTTCAAACAGGAATTATTTCAGGCAAGTTCCACCGTTATACAGGAAGTCAGACTCGATGATCGCGGTGGTCCCTTCTGACCTTCAAGTCTGTGTACCACCCAGTACCTCCAGTACCTCACTCGTGGCATTGTTGATGGCCCAAAACCTGCATTCAAAAAGACACATCTCAATACCTGAATCAGGGCTTTCCTATTCTGTGGCCCAGTCATCCTGTTAGCCCCAGCTTCCTTTTCCTCCTCTACTGATACCTCAGGTTCCACACCATCCTCAAGATTCACTGGTTTTGTGGTGCTAGTGTCCGGTTCAGCTTCTCAAAAAAGGGACAGAGATGTTGATTGAGTTCTTCACTTCTTGTGCGGCACCCGTTAATTTGTACCTTGATTCTGAAGTTTGCAAGGCAATGAAGGGGCTACTGGTAAACCTGATTACCTCTGCCCAAATTTATATTATTCTGAATGCTTTCCTCACTCCAGATGCCCAACAGGGTCTTGATCTCCTCTTGAGACTGTGCACATTGGATTTCTTCCACCGACTTTTCCCCTGAAAAGTGATAACTAACTAGGGCTCATTTCAGGAAATGGAAGCATGACCATCAGAGGAAATTCAAGGTTTACTGACCCACCCTGTTACTGTGGTAGTTGTAATTGTGTAATACAACATGCGCTCCTTAGTACTCAGATACCACATTCTGATCTAACAAAATAGTAAGAGACTAAAGATTTCCGGATTCATAAGTGGAATAACTTGGAAAATAGAATGAAACCAGCAAACCAGTTTAAAATGACAATCCATGGCCCCAGGCAGATTGTTTTTTAAATCGATGCTTTTGCTGCAATTGTGTTCTCTTTTGTTTGCCTGCAGAAATTAGCTGTGGCTACCCTCTAGAGATCACGCATGGACACATCATAGGGAACTACACCTCTGTGCTGGGGAGTGAAGTTCATTATGAGTGTGAAGAAGGGTTTTACAGCGAAGGGGGAAACATATCTGTTTGCACCAAA